GGCTAGGGCAGCCACTAACAGTAGGTGGGAAAATTTTCACACTTGCAGGGTATCGCGATCGCTCTGGCGACGGCTCGATGAACGAAGAATAAGGAGTCTATTAAGGCTTTCAAAGTCAAACGTTAGGCTTCCCACAGGAATATTAACAGGACACTGGACCTTTGTTACATGGCAGCCAGGTTCGGAGCCCCGCATAACGATTTCTGTAGAAGCTGCAGGGATGAAAAGGAGTTAGAATCCGTCCATCACTTCATTTGCGAGTGTCCAGCACTTCGAGGAAAACACCTCATGTTTCTTGGGGACAACTTCTTCGAGAACCTGGATATCTTGGGGAAAGCTCCTCTGGAAGGACTGCTGGGATTCGCCAGAAAATCAAAATGATTCGAAGACATGTAGGGATAGGCTTGTGGTAACCCCCCATGGGCATCACAATGGGCATTCGCGGCCTCCGAGTGAACTCTTTGCAGAGCTGCCCGTTTAACCTCACCTAACCTAAAGGCAGCTTTACACGGACGAAAATGCGGAAGACAATAAAAAAAATAAAAATAAATAATCAACAGAAACATTTAGCTATTACCTTATTAGATATATTAAAAATAAATGAGCCATAAAACTCCAAACTCATTTTTGTTGAAAATGTTGTTATATATTCTTAATCTTTTAAGAGATTGGAGAATAGGGCTAATTCTGTAAAACCCTTGTGCATAAATCTGTATTATCTTCTGTCAAAAATACTGAAATCATATCGATGTTTGTAAACGAGTATACATCTACTTACAAATACTGGGCACCGGAATCACATAAATAAATTTCATTATTTGTTATGGAACGATTGGTATTCTCAGTTGGATGGTAATGTATTATGGAACCATTAGGTCCACTCGCATTTATAGTTGGAAAGCTTAACCCCATAAAGTATTTATTTTTACTGAAAATATAGAAATTAGGCAAAACCGATTTTTTTTTAGAAATACTTACGATCGAAAGGCTTCAAGTTTTGTAGCTCCAGATAGTTCACTTATGTTTTCGCCATTTTGAATAGCATGTTCCAGCCAAGCGAAATATTTACAAAGTGCAACTCCATCACGAATATGACAGTTAATAAATCCATCAATTTCACTTTTATTTTTAATCGCTTTGTTGATAGCTATAGGTGTAATCTAAAACACATGAAACTCGAACTATAAGCTTTGCAAACATATTTTTCACATCTGTAATGTTCTTACTTCTTGTATTCTTAATTTTTTAGGTATCTTGGAACATAAGAAATAGCTTGAGTTAGGAGAAATCCATATTTTTCCACTTGATAATATACTTATTGAAGCCTGTAATTCGCTTCCAATACAGTCATATGGTTGAACATGAATGGCGACACCATTTTGCTTTTGATAATTTTCAAAGTTTTCTGGAAGTTTTGATTTGTCAATGAATAGTTTAATACTATTGAAATCAATAATCAAATACGCGAAAAATATGGGATTATAATCAATATCTGATCCACGCAAGTTTAAAAACCCTGAAAATATAAACATAATATAGCATTATTAAATCACATATATAGATTGTTATGTGCATACATATACACTTAAACATACCTACATACATATGTATGTATTGCCAAGCCATGAACCAACTATACAAGATCACGTAAGAACGGGGCCTTGTATTTGTAATTGTTTTCGAGAAAAACGTTTTTGAAAGCGGGCTCATCAGCTGAGCTTTTGTTGACATGCCAACCACCACTATTTTCCACTTTTTATTAACTAAAGAATATTTAATTCCACACGAAAACCTGTTTTAAAACATTTTAATGAAGAATTTCACCTAAATTGTGTGTTTAAAGCGGCTGACAACAATTTTGGTTCTCGTTCCTTGATTTATTTTTGTTCCAGCGAAACATGATGTAGAAACCGCTAAAAATCGACTTTTTTAGTCCCTTGTTCTTGCGTGATCTGGTGTCATTCGTTCATTTTGTCAAGCTCGTAAACATATCGTAGTTATCAATGAGGTAATGAATAAATTTGTTTTTATTTTATGGCCTTATAACAATTATATTCACCTTTTTAATGAGCTTACGGAAAAGAAACAACAATTTAGAAAAAATGGTAGAAGTTATAGCTATTTCGGAAATCACCACTGGGATTCGATCCAACGACCCCAGCTGACTCAGCCAGTTGCCTACGCACCGTGCTATGTTCGCCTTGTAAATTCTTGTTGCTTTTTGAGGCATTTCATGTCACCGCGGCCACCTGTGTGCGCGACCTCTCAGGATTTGGATGAAATTTTAAGAGATTGAAGGTCTAGGTGACACGAATATCCGTGCAGCATATTTTGCCGATATGACGTAGGGTTGCCTATTTACACGGGACTTAAATTTTAAGAAAACGTCATACATACCTTTCTTTAAAGTGCTGTATCTGGGAAACCTTTTAACGAAACTTAATGATAAAAATGTATTTCTTCCGTCTTATTATGGGCTTTAATTGCACATTTTTTACAACGTATAAAAAACCAAAATAAATTAATCAAACATTTTTCTTTTTGATTTTTTTTTGATTATAGCATATTTAAAAGTTTTTATTTTGGCATAAAAACATTGTCTATAATGTCAACTTTAAGCACCCAATGGGCTACTTATGCGTTCGGACTCTAGATCGTCTAACGCTCGAGCAATATGATAAATGGACTTTGAAATTTTATTAAATTGTATATTTTTGAAAGGTGTGTAAAAAGCAAAAACAATATTAATAAATCATATTAACTTTATATTTATATTTATGTAACCTAGACCTTCAATCTCTTCAACTTTCATCCAAATCCTTAGAGGTCGCGCACAGAGGTGGCCGCGGTGACATGAAATGCCTTTTTTTCCACTTTTTCATTTGTGAAGCCAACTACAATCAAGCGCAACTATTCCAGTTAAAGGCCTGCAAATGTTGAACTATAAAACATAGCGACATGTGTCACATCATGCAAGTGCCAGTTCATATTATGTCGCTCATACATGTTTCACAGTAACATATGAAGACACTGTCGAATAATCAACACAAGCAACATATGCGACACATGCGACATAGTCAGCATTGTTAATTATTTTTATTTACGGGAAGAGATTTTGTAAATTTCTTAAGCACCTATTATAGTAAAATGCATTAAAGAATTATCTAATTAAAAACCCCTATATATTTTCATCCAAGGCAGGATCAAACAGTATTAAAAATATGCTACAGAAGCACAACAGCGAACGACAGCATAGCTAAGTAGCAACGACATGCTAAAACAGTATGTTCGAGATGGAATGACATGGCATAACACCTTGTTTGAGTTGACATGACATAGCAATGCATGCAATTTTTGAAAAAGACATTTTTACAGAAAATATTGAATTTTGCAGCTATCTAATTCCAGTGCTATTTAAACTTGATCATATTGTTGTTGGTTTTGGTGCTTTTTTTGTTAATAATTATATTTTTAGAATGTAGACCTTTTTTCAAGGTGTGCTCGTCCTTAAGTGATTTGTTTTTTGTATTTGATGGCCTTATAACAACTACATATATTCAGCAATGAGCTTGAGGATGTTTTTAATTAAAAATGGTTGTGGAAAAGCAACAATAATTTTGAAAAAATGGTAGAAGCTATTTCGGAAATCACCACATTTCCTCATCCGACTTCTTTCAGTGGGATTCGATCCCATAACCCCAGCTGACTCAGCCAGTGGCCTACGCACCGTGCTAAGTTCGCCTTTAAATTCTTGTTTTTTTTCATTTTTTCATCTGGGAAGCCAACTACAATCAAGCGCAGCTATTCCAGATCCTTTTAAACTTGATCATGTGGTTGTTGGTTTTGTTGGTTTTTTGTTAATAATTCTATTTTTAGAATGTTTAACTTTTTTTAGGTGTGCTCGTCCTTAAGTTATTTGTTTTTGTTATTTTATGGCATTATAACAATTATATTCAACAATTTTAGTGAGCTTGAGGCCGTTTTTAATGAAAAATTATTGCGGAAAAGCAACAATAATTTTAAAAATAGTTTAGAAATGATAGCTATTTCGGAATCATTACAACGCTTTTATCAACTTGCAATGTTGTGTTCCAGAAACTTTCAATGTTGTGGATCCAGAAACTTTCAATGTTGTGTGTCCGACACCAAAGCAAAGCTTTGAAAAGCTCCTATAAAAAAGCATAGTGAATAGGGCGAGGTAGATGACATCTAGATGTCGCCCTATGTACTACGTTTGCTACACCGGAAATAGACGACACGCCATTTCTTTAAATAAAATTAATTGGTGCTCGTTTGTATGTACATACAAATCGGAAATAGACGACACGCCATTTCTTTAAATAAAAGCCGTCATCGATTCGCCAACAGTTAGCAAGTGGCGAAACGAACGAACTCAATGAGGTACAACCAAACTCGCTATCGTCTATCCGTGCTAGCTAACTTTGTTGTTGCTTTCGCATGCAAAATTCTTCTTTAAGCGACCGGAACTCAAACAGCGAGCGAGAAGTGGCGAATCGATGACGGCTTATGTAAATGCATGTGACTATTGTCAACTAAATCGAATGCTTTGTAAGTGAAGTGACTTGTGGACCACTTGA